CTATAGCATAGTTATTAAATCATGTATCGGAAGGCGTATCGTAAGATACAATATTGTATCGTAAGATACGGTGGCAATTTTAAATAAATAATAATAAAATATATATACCTTTGAAAAAAAGTCATACACTCATAAATACATAGCATTTCATTAATACTCCACTAACTATTCAAGTCATCAACATAATCCACTACTATTATAATGCAAAGTTCACAACCATAGTTCACTAATTCAAACTTTAAACACCAAAGAGACTTCTAATCCAAATTTCTAACATCCATTTTGAACTCAATCTTCAATTTCAATTGAAAATGCATCATCATCATCATCATCATCATCATCATTGTGATCGGATGCCAACAACTTTACTTCCTTCATCATCTTCAACTTCTTGTATTTGTTCATCTCATCCTCATCTTCAAGTTGAACTATTTGTTTTCCTTTTTTCTTGTTTGAAGTAAGATTTCTAGGCCCTACAAAGCAACCAATACAAAATATAAAAAAAAAAATTCAAAGTAATGGAGAAGAAGAAAAAATAACCACTACATTTTAATTACCTCTCTTTCTCTTTTTGCTAGTCCCTTCTCGAACCTCAAAACATTCACCAACATTCATCCAAGTAGTGTCCTCAGGAGGAGTGCATCTTCTTTTTCAGTGATCCACTCATCATCAGATTCCATATTTGAGAGAGAAATAGGATCATAGGAATCACCCTCTAGTATTCTCTTTGGTGTCTTGCCTCCAATCGAAGATTGTATTTCACAAACACAAGTGCACTTAATCTTTGCTGCTCTAATTGATTTCTCCTCTTAGAGTGCACCTGGTCAAATGTACTCCAATTCCTCTCACATCCTGTGGCACTACAAGTCAAGCTAAGGACGCAGATAGCAAGTTGTTGCAACTCTGGACAACATCCTCCAAATGATTCCCACCACAAGGCTATAAAAAATTATAATAGAATACTCCATTAACTAACTTAAGTAATTGCATTCAAATAACTAACTTAAGTTAGGTTACCACTAACCAGGTTGTTTCTTTTTCCTCATCTGAATTGTCATGTCCATTCCAAACATCAAATCAGCATTATGACAGATATCTAATTGTTTATCAACTATTTCTCTCATAATAGGACCTGGACACATTCTCTGAATAGTCTGATATAGTCCCATCTTTATCTCACAGTCCACACTACCGGTGTAATGAAACCTGAAATAGTTATTTTGATTTACAATGATCATTGATTAGTATATAATATATAGATATAAAATGATATAAAAATTGAGAAAATTAAATCTTACGCGGGATTGAGATAATAAGCAGCTGCATGAAGAGGTTTGTGTAATTGCATGTTCCATTTAGTATCAACAATAGTCCATATGGGCTCATAGTGCTTCTTCACATTACGAAAATTCTTTTGGATCTGTTCCTTTGCTTTGTCCATTGCCTCGTAAATATATCCCATGCAAGTTTTAGATCCCCATCTACAAGCCTCAACACCTTAACCAATGGCAACACACACTTCAAGCAATACTTGATTCATCTCCAAAAATTTGGTCAGCTAGTATAATATCCATCACTTTTACACCATCTCCCTTCTTACAATATTGACTTCTCTGCCATTCCTCAGAAGCAAATATTGCTCTAAGCCCAATTTTATTTTCAAATAAACTCCTTAAAGTTAAATATGAGGTGGCAAATCTGGTCACACAAGCTCTCACCAAATCCCTTTTCTTTGTATATTTCCTCATAAGATTTAACACCCAAGAATGTCTATAAATATAAACTGTGATTTTTCTTGTCTTTGACATTATATCCTTATGTAGAGGAAGGTCCCCAATATCCGTCAAAATGAGATCTACACAATGTGCAGCGCAGGGAGACCAAAATAACTTTTTCCTCTTTGCCATTAACAACTCCCCAGCTTTTACATAAGCCGATGCACTATCAGTTACAACCTGAACAACATTATCCTCACCAATCTCTTCTACCATTGAATCTAAAAGTTCAAAAAGATTATTCACATTCTTACAAATACTTGAAGTATCAATACTTTTAAGAAACACACTTCCTCTAGGACTATTCACTAAAAAATTAGTGATAGAGCAATGCTTCCCATCAGTCCATCCATCAGACATAAGAGTACAACCCTTCTTTCTCCACTCTGCTTTATAATTTTTCATCGACTCACCATTAATCAAATTTGTTTCTTTTTTCAAAAAAGAACATCTCACCTCATGATACGATGGAGGTTTCAATCCCTTGCCAAACGATGCAACAGATTCTAACATTCTTACAAAATATGGATCATTTACCAAATTAAAAGGAAGGGCATTAGCATAAAAACATCTACAATTATCCAAACATACATCTTCCCTACCCTTTTTCTTCAACATGGTATTCAAAGTAATTGTGGTGGTTGGTTGTATTTTATCAACAGTAGTACTACCCACACTGCCACTACTTTTCGAATCCACAAGACTCATATCTTTGCTAATTGTCCTATCATCCAATAATTGCTTAAAAAATTCAGTTACTTTCTCAGGGCAATACTTACATGCTGCTACATCTTTGCGATTACCTACCAAATAATTTTTCATTCTTGAAATACCTCTCCAATAGACATTTGCACAATGAATGCATTTTAATTTCAACCTTGATCCTTTTACTTTGTCACAATGTTCCCATGTGGGATCATTAGCAAGTTTTTTAGTCATTTCTATATGAAAATTGGATGCAGGTGATGTCACTGTTGCACAAAATTAAAATTAATCAAGATTCAGAAATTTTTATACAAAAAAAATATATATACAATGGCTTTGTAAATAAATTAATATCATTTCTTACTGCACAGGACCAACGATCAATGGAGACTGGGAAGAAGAAGAAGAAAAAAAAAGGAGTACTTGGGGAAGGAAGAAGGCAGCGATCAACGATCACCTACAGTCGGAGACCAGTAATCACCCACAGACGAAGACCAGCAATCATCCACAATTGAAGACCACCCACAGTCGAAGACCACCCACAATCGATCACCACCCACAGTCGAAGACTACCCACACAGTCAAAGACCACCCACAGTCGATCACTTGTCATCAATGGCTGAAAAGAAACCAGAGACCTCTGAGTCTCTGACTAGCGATGAGCGAAGGCCGAATATGAGAGAAATGAGGGATTTTTTTTTTGTAACCCTAATCACTGGAACGACGTCGTTTCAGTGGTTATAGGGATTAAAAAAATAAAATCAGAGCAAAAATGACGTCGTTTTTAAAAAAAAAAAAATTGCACGTATCATAAAAATGTATCGTGTATCGGACGATACAACGCAAAAACGATACATAACTACGATCCGTATCGTTTTAGGCCTGTATCGTAACGTATCGTACGATACTAACAACTATGGACTATAGTACATGCTCATTTAGAGCCTGGAGCAGGGGTATGGTGATTTCATATCATATTGTGAATTATTGAAGGAAATCCACTTTAGTAATTTCTGGAAGTTATAAGGGTTGGCTGCGATATGACACAGCTAAATCAAATCTATATCTGAATTATTGTTATAAAATATGCTGCTAACTGCCCTCCTCCCTTGCGTCCGTCCTTGGTTTATCCGATTGGATTGAGTTTAAGCTAAATGTGTCTGGGGAATACATGCACTCTTTTATATTTTTAGAGTCTTCTTATGTTCTCTATAAACAAAAAAAAAAAAAATGTAAGAAAGAGAGTGACAGAGTATCCTGTATAGACCCACGTCTTCTTTTTCATGTAGCATGATTTATTTGAGTTGTTTGCAGTTTGCTGACATTGAAAAACTTCAGTTGGAATGGAGGGAAGCAAAAAGAAACAATAAGAGGAAGGTTGTGTCATTCCTCAAAGAAAAAACTGGATATCTTGTCAACCCTGATGCAGTGTTTGATGTGCAGGTTTTCTCCTACTGATTAAACATTCTTTTCATTTTTTAAGCCTCATCCTCATCATAAAGAATAAAATCTCGGATGGGAGAATCAGGAATGCTGTTTGAATTAAAGTTCTGTATTATGACAAAAATGTGTTAGCAAGCCATGCTATTGAAGTGTTTGCCTTCCAATCTTGGTGGGGCCCTTTTAACACAAAATGAGGATGCCGCTTTTTTTCTCAAAATATATGTTAGTTTTCTTGTGCCATAGACATGATGCTAGTGTTGGATGAGAACTAAAAGCATTGTTGTAATACCCTCGTGAGGTGAACATCTTTGCTCAAATCTTTCTCTTGTTTTCCTTTCTTAGTCTAACCTCGTAAGACTATAGCCTAAATGAATATACCCTCAGGTAAAGCGAATCCATGAATACAAGAGGCAACTGTTGAATATCATGGGAATTGTGTATTGCTATAAAATGATGAAAGAAATGAGTCCTGAGGAGAGAAAAGCAAAATTTGTCCCTCGGGTTTGTATATTTGGAGGAAAAGCATTTGCCACATATGTCCAGGCCAAGAGGATTGTGAAATTCATCACGGATGTTGGGGCTACTGTGAACAATGATCCGGATATAGGTGATCTTTTGAAGGTACATTTAAGAATGTCTTATGCTTTTGCCTGTTGCGTATTTTCAAAAGTTTTCACACACTTAATAGAGCACTATCAGCTTCTCAACCTTTGAAATATGCCTTCAATTTTTGTAATTCGTATTTTTATCTTTATGGAATGATGTTTTTTCTTTCTTATGCATGTCTTTTACAATGTTAGCAGCACTAGAAAGTCAAACGTTTGACATCTATATCTTCCCCATCAAACTTCTGCCGGTATCCTGTTTTTCTTGCATGAAGAATGATAATGAATTGACCGCAACAAACCGCAATTTTGTCATACAGTATAGTACCTGTGGTTCCTAGAAGCGGAGAAACAATTAGTTCTGGGTAAAAGTGGGTGGCATAGGGCCCAACCTTGTCTTTAGTTATTCTTTATGCATTTGGTGTGGCCATTATGGTTAACTAATATACTTAATATACTTGGCCACAAAGTGATATGATTCATATCTCAGAGATCTCCATTCATCCCATGTTTGAGGGTGATAGATGACTAAGGCCCTTTCTGTTTTACATTTTGCAATGCATTTTCGTATTGGGCAGAGTTGTTTAGGATGATATTCAATGGTTTACTTGGAAAGATGAAGGCCACCATATAGTAGCCAACAAAATTAGGTTTTCATTGCTGAAGATAAGATCTTTTAATACAATGTCCATAACTAACATGATAGAATGTGTTCAGAACCACTCATAACATTTGCTCTATCTTTCATAGGTTGTCTTTGTCCCTGACTACAATGTCAGTGTTGCGGAAATTCTTATTCCTGGCACTGAGCTGTCCCAACATATCAGGTATTTTGATTTGTTTTATTTTGGAGTTCCTGCTTTTGCTTTCTTGCTTTGTATGCCATTAGTTTAGGATGGAAAATCTTGATAGGACAGTTAAATCCAATTGGAAAACGATACAAGTTCTTGGATATTAATTCCAGTATTTGTTAGATAGGTTGTATTCAGGTTTATAAGTAGGATCCATATGACCTGATTTGCCCCGTTACTGTTCATGTCACGTTCACGAGAACAGCCCGTACCTATTCATGTTTGCATTTTGATTTTATGTTTGTATTCATGTTTGTTTTTTGATTTTGATTTTATGTCTCTTTTTAGTTTGCTTCGAAAATGAACTATCTACATGTATTTAAACAAACAATATGGTTGTGATAAAGGGTTAAGCCCAAGCCTCAGCTTTAGTTTTCTCTAAATCCATGCCAACTTTAGTAACGCCCACTTGAGTTTAGGCATCTCTTGTTGCAAGAAGATAACCACATTGCTTTAAGTTGTACAAAGATTGCATAGAAATAGAATTTATTAACCGACACGTAGGGGAAAAAAAATTAAAAGTCTGTTGGCAAGACTTAATTCTGGCAAAAATTTGCTCAATCAAGGATCTGCAGTGCTGTCCTGAGAGCCAAGTAATCATGAAAGGCATACTAAACTATACGATGTGGATTCCCAAAACTATAATTTTTATCCCTAGTTATGGAAAAAGAACCGATTGCATTGACAAACAAAAAAAATTGTTTAGGCATTTCCCTAAATCTTTGCATGGTGGTACATTGTCATTATTTGGTGCTAACTGGTGTTCTCTTGTTTAATTTTTAAAATTTTTAGCACTGCTGGAATGGAGGCTAGTGGAACCAGCAACATGAAGTTTGCAATGAATGGCTGCATCCTAATTGGAACCCTGGACGGTGCCAATGTTGAAATAAGGCAAGAGGTTGGAGAAAACAACTTTTTTCTTTTTGGTGCTCAGGCTAATGAAATTGCTGGCCTGCGGAAAGAAAGAGCTGAGGGGAAGGTGAGTTTATTGAGCCACAATACAAATTTTAGTCTTTAACTTTCTCAGTCTGTAAGTTGGTTTAATTCCCCCAACAGCTATGCTCTCATAACTCCGCTGTAAAATTGAAGTGAAATGAAATCTGGAATTCAGACTTTAAAACTTGTTCTATTGAGTGACTAAGGCAGGATTACTATTCTACTCTAGAAGAAAAAAAGAATTCCCTCTCTCACTCCTTCAAATTATTTGATCTCATGCAGTTTGTGCCAGACCCGTGATTTGAAGAAGTTAAGGCATTTGTCAGAAGTGGTGTTTTTGGCCCCTACAACTATGAAGAGCTAATGGGATCCTTGGAAGGGAATGAAGGATATGGTCGTGCTGATTATTTCCTTGTCGGGAAGGACTTTCCAAGTTATTTAGATTGCCAAGAAAAGGTTGATGAGGCCTATCGAGACTAGAAAGTGAGTATTCTTTGCTACCAAAACACACATGCACGTACTTTTATGCTACCTTCCTCTCGAATGTGTAACTATGCTGTGGGAACAGAGGCATTCCCAGATTGGTAAAGCATGCCCAGTCATACCTGCATATAGTCATGCATAGATCTCAAGATGAAAATCCTAGTTTGACATACTGGTGCTGAAATCTTCTTAGTAAGCCTTAGTAATGTGTTCATTTAATGGCTGTAGCCTGTAGCAACATAACTGCTACCAATTGCTATTCCAAGCAGATTCTACGAGTTGCTATTCCAAGCAGATGCTTGTTTCAATGAAATTCGCTTATCATCAGTCTTACAGAGGATGTGACAATGAAGACTATTCATAATTTTTCTTCTACTCAAACAAATGCATGTTACCACATAGGTCACTCATTCAAAGCTATACTGAATGCATGTATTTGGAGCCTAAAAAACACTGCCGCAAAACATATAATGCCACGATTGACATGTATGAATAATTTACACATTATTTTGTCTTCGCAGAGATGGACAAAAATGTCAATATTGAACACAGCTGGTTCATATAAGTTCAGCAGTGACAGAACGATTCACCAATACGCAAGAGACATATGGATGATCGAGTCTGTTGTATTACCATAAAGGCGCACATACCGAGGGCCCAAATTTTGCCAGGTACCCTAGTTAGTTGTAAAATTGAATAATCTAGAAAGTTAACTAAATGCAATGACAGATTCCATGGCTAAGTTGAGTAAGGTGTTTGTGGAGTCTTTGAGATCTCCTCAATTCTATGAAAATTTTTCTGTTTCATATTGAGTGGGAAGGATACTTATCTGTGTTAGATTTTAATAAATTATGCTACGCATTTACATTTAGTATTAATGAGAGAGCCAGTGTCCCTGAGATAATAGACAGTTGATTTATTAGTTCCATTAAATTCATGCGAGTTATGTGAAGCTCATAGACATTGGCCACTGCAAAATAGTCGTAATTAGTACCAATCCTTGGATTGAAAAAGAAAAGTATGTTAAAAAAATTTCTTTGCATGATCAACTGTTTGTGCTGTCATTCTTTTCTGTAATTTTTTTTTAATCTGTGAGCTTTGCTATGTGGGTGGGCCTTTGATATTCCATGGTTATGTGAATCATTCTGTTGCTTTCTTGTGGCAATTCCACACACCAAACCTGTGGATATGCACCATTTTTCAGACCATAGTCCTGCAATACATGGCTGTAGCCCACTGCCTTAGTTCACCAGCCTTTTTGTGTCACATGGACGAGTATTATGACACCTGATTTGATTTATGTAATCTTTGCCACCAAGGCTTGGCACTTTCGGCGGAATTAGATTTCCCTGAGAAGACCACTAAATTTTTGGATGTGATCATCCAATTTGGTATGGGGGCTGGTCTATATATGTCAGGTGATTGACAGGGGGGCATAATTTACAATCAAACACTAGATTAGATGCTAACTTTTGAAGGACATGAAGAGGCAAGCAAGCATATGGGTAGATTATGTCCAAGCACAGTCATACCAATTGAAGTGTCCAAAAAGTAGTTTACCAAAACCATTTCGCCTTCTCTGCATCATACTGCTCCGCCCCGAGCTTCCATCATCAGCTTTGTCATTAGACTACTATCTATGCATGTACTTTAGCTTGATCGATAATAAGGAAACCTTAATTAACAAGGGACTTGAAATTGAACAATGAATGAGTAGGCGAGAGATTTTGACAAATCTTTTATACTTATTTTTATTTGTTATAGAAAGAGAGAATTTCTTATTATTTTCCCTGATCTCTCCATTCAATACAGTGAGTGCACATTGAGGACCTTGTGGAGTGAAGATGAGCTGAATTAACAGCCGATTGCATGTTTCTTAGCTGGATTTTTCTCCTGATATTATTTGTAATACAAAGCCTCCTAGATGATCTACTGTGCTGATAATCAGTAACTATCTCAGACATATTACTATGTAACTTGCTCTATAAACCTTGTAGAATGACAAGAAGTTCCATGAAATTGATTCGAATAGTGGGATAAGATTTTGTCGAGTTAAGAGTAATCTCGAAGTTTGGGTATTGGAACCATTTGATGTAGTAGTTTTGTATCAACTTACAGTTTGACCTGCATAATCGACTGTTTTAGAGGTACATCCCAACAGTCCAGAAACTCTCTCTCTCTCTCTCCTTGTAGATGTCACTTCAACTACTGCATCGACCCAAACCAAGGATCAGATCTCCTCTAATATATTTGCTTTTCAATTTCTTTTTTGACGACTCATCCATCATTAACAAATATGGATTTAATTTGTATAGAATAACTTTTACTTAAATGTACGAAAATTTGAAGAGAACATGTATTGAAGGATATTTCACTCTTAAACGAAATAGTATTTAGGCGAATTTTCTTTCTGATACTAACATGGATGGTGATATCTTTTCCTTGTTGGGAAAAATTTCCAAAAACCAGGGAGATTGATCTTATAGGGATTTGAAGTGTTGACTAGCACTTGGCCAAAAAAATTAAACATGGTCAAACTAAAAGTGGACCCTGGACCGCACCCTTTTCTCTCTCTTTTTTTGAACCTTCATGTAATTGTGGAAGTGAGCAACAAGGTTAGAGTGGGCCGAGAAACTGTTTGCCTTATAAAGTGCAAATTGGCCTAACATTCAGTATGTATATATACTAAATTATTTTTTGTGTCTGAAAGTACAGGGTAATAATAAAAATGATCAATAATAAATATATTTATATTTACATCTAAAATCAAATATAAAGATAAATAAAAATAATAATTTAAGTATCGATTGTAATTGGGGCGAGCGGTGATAATGATGGTAGGTAGCAGTGGGGGTGGTGGGAGATGGTAGTGGTGGCAATAACTAAGTGATGATGGTTGTTGAAGAAGAGGTGGTAGTGGGGTGACAGCGGTGGTGGGACGGTGGCGACAACGATGATGATGATAGTGATGGGGCAATAGGAATGGTGGTAGTGGTGATGGTGGTGGTGGTTGTTGAAGCTAAGGTGGTGATGTGGTGGCAGTAGTGGTAGTGGTGGGGGTGGGGCAATTTCAAATATTACTTTTATTTTTTAATGTATTTATAAAAAGTTATAAATCTTAAAATTATTTTTAAAAAGTTATTTCAAGTACACCTTTATAAGCTATTTTTCTTTTTAAATTTGGAATGTTAATATTAGTCATTGGATTAAATTTAAAGTTAAATTTAAAGAGATCTTAATTCTGAAAAGTAAAAATTATTTTGTTTATCTTTTAAAATTTGAATTGTATTATACTTTATTATTGAACTAGTTATTGTTTGTGCCTGAAGGTACAAAATAATAAAAAATGGTAAACAATAAATATATTTGTATTCATATCCAAAATCAAATCACAAACATAAAAGATATAAAAAAATTTAAGTATCGATTTGTAATGAGAATGAGAGGTGGTGGGCGGCAGTAGTGGTGGTAGGAGACAGTGATGGTTGTGGAGGGTGGTAATGACAAATAATTTCTAAAAATACTTTTAAAATATCACTCTAAACACACCCTTATTGACCTATTTTTCTTATTAAATTTAGGGTGTTAATATTAGCCGTTAGATTAGCTTTAAAGGGATCTCAACCGTGAATAACAAAAATTATTTTGTTTATCGTTTGAGATTTGACAAAAAATGATGCAAATAGATTTTTTTTGATTTATTTGTAGTAATTGATCGTGCAAATAATAAGTGAATTGAAATAATAAAGTATAAGTATTTTTTTTATTGATGTCATGTTCTCATTAGATGAAAAAAAGAGGTATGATATTTTTATGTTATTTAAGTCGGACCCAGCTTCTGACCAAACAAAAAAAAAAGTAAGTAATATTTTGAGAACATATCCCTCTTGATTGTTGTTGTCAGGTTTTTATCTTTAGGAGAGAAGATTATGGTACCATTTTTTTTTTTTTTGATATTGCACCGTTATGTACAAAATTTGTGGTTTTTTAAAATAAAATTTGGGGATCATTTTATAATTTTTGGGGAGTTATTTAAAATTTTTAAGGGTTATTTAAAATTTTTTAGTGTCATTTACAAATTTTTAGGGGTCATTTGTAATTTTTGAGATTATCTTGGGATCGATCATAAAATTGTTATGATGGATCCTAGTAGGCAACCATTGTTTCTCACTTTTCTTTAAATTTTTTCTAGATAAAAGGCTAAAAGAGTTGTACTTTCTTAGTACATTACCTTTCATTACCAAGCTATTGTTTTACATCACGGAGTATTTTCACACAAAGAGGCGGGGGAAGCTTTGCTTCTAGAATGTTGGCTACATGTGAACATATATTTTATAGGTTGATTCTTATTATTGTTGCTCGCTCGATTTTGAGATGCTCCCGTGAAGAAAGGGCTTGCGAGAAAGCTTGTCAGTAAAATTTCAAAAAAGTCTCGGAATCCAAAAATCTTTATCTTAACCCGCAAAATTTATACAACTTGTTGATAGAATGCCAAATTTTTTTTGGCACCATAGTCTTCTCCTATTTTATAATGTAAGAGTAACAAGAATAACACAACTTACGAATCACAGTTAAAGATCAAAATTTCGTTTCAGTGTATTATTTTGGTCAATTTAAGAAATGTAAAAGTTTTGATGTGTTGCAGAAACGTTTCGACCTGTTTCAGAAACATAATAAAATAAATAATAAAATTTAAGAATTATTTTTTTAAAATATTAGTCGAAATATATCAAAATATCTTGAAAATACCTTAAACATTATGAAACAATTGTGCAAAAATATTACAATATTACAAAACATCTCAAAACATTATAAAG